CAGGAATGCGAATTAAACACAGTGCAGAAGTGGGAAGGAATAGTAACATTATCATAATTTATAATAAAAAGTGGTTCTGTTAGTTATGAGGTGCTGTTATTTAACCTCTCTAGTGAAATTGTAGATTATTGTGAATGTTTTCCTGTCTACTTTGAGGTTCCAAAAAGATTGTTCTTGACGGGCAACTCAACTTCAACATCTAATACATTTGTTGCTTTTCTTCCCAGACAGCTGTCGATGATGCTCATGTTGGCTCAGTCCAATCCTCAGCTGTTTGCATTAATTGGAACAAAAGCTAATATAAATAAAGAATTGGAACGTATTGAACAGTTCTCTAAACTGCAGCAGTTAACAGCAGCTGATTTACTCAGCAGAAATAAAAGACACTGGAAGGAATGGCTGGAGAAGTACAGGTAGGCTTTCTGAGAATTCACAGCAGTGTATTTTATTTCTGCATTTTATCTGAGAACAACGTGCCTGTCTCGTGAAGGACACCTTGTCTCAAAGTGTATAGACTGGGAGTGATGTGGGGCAACTCAGAAACTACTGCCAAGGTCAGTGGTGTTGTGAAAGTTCAGGGGCATCTTTTATTTTGTCTACTAGATTTTGGGGAGAGGTGGGGGTATAGAAATCACTTAGCGTCAAATCTAGTGTTAAAAGTGCTTCAAAATTTTTATTCTAGCACAGACTCATTTCAGCTGTGAGCTTTTAAGTGCTCAGTTGCTACAGTTGACTGACCTCTAAGCATTTTATCCTTTTCCATTTTTTTTTCCTGAAGGAAAAATCTATGCATTAGTATAGAAAGCAAGCGATTAATCAAAGAATAACTGTAAAAGAAGTCATGGACAGGAAAAAATCGTCCAGACTGTTCTAATACATGTAACTTAAAAGCCTAAAATCTTAGTGTTAGCAGAAGATTTTTTTTTTTTTTAAATAAAACCGTGAAATGTAGAGCATTAGTTGTTTCTGCTGTGTGAATTAGGTCAGGACTGCTTTCTTCACCTGTCTGCCTGTGCTCTTGTTCTCTGGTAGGGCTGAGAATTTTAGTGAGTGTTCCTGCTAAAAGGTGCATTGAATCACCCCAGCCATATTTAATCCCCTTGCTTTTATCAGAACGTGAAAAGCTTTAACCAACAGACAAGCATAGAAATACTTAATAAAAAAATCACAGATTCTTTGGTTTTTTTTGCCAAGCAGTGCAGGACAGACCGTGCTCCGGTGTCTCAGGCTGACTTTTCAGAGAATATGCGAGGTGCACCTCTTCCACCAGCCTTGCCGGGACCTGCTGCTTTTAAATGAAGTGGCATTTTGGATGCTATTTTTGTGCTGCGTTTTATAAACGGAGAGGATTAGAGAGGATGTAGTGGTTTTTAAGAACTGTAAGCTGGGCATCTTGAGGCAAGGAAATGTGCCAACTTTTACAGGTGATTCTTGATCCAAACTAGTGGTTTTCACTTGCCTTAATTTCAGAGGCCGCTTGCAGAAAGAAATAGAAAGCGTTAGTGATGCTGATGCCTGGAACATGGACCATGTGAAAGTTATGAATTTAAACAATCCAAAATACATCTTGAGAAATTACATTGCCCAGAATGCCATAGAAGCAGCTGAAAATGGGGATTTCTCAGAGGTATGCTCTTCCTACTTGATATCTCTCTAGGTTTGCGTGGATGTGTAGTGGCACTGTTGATGAGTGACACTGTGCAAGGCGAGATTCGTTCTGGCATCTCTAAGGGGGTTGGGAATTTATTCTTTGTAAGGTCCATATTGTTTTTTCAGAGGGCTGTAATTTTGATGACTGCAGAACAAAGAAAGGGATTGAAAATCTGAATCCGAGCTTCACCAGCTTCTGTAGGCTGATCGCAGGACAAGACACCTACCCCTGATTTTACTGCCCTCAGAATGGTGTTTACCTTGGGGCTTAATTTATATTTGTTCCTTGTTGTGTTAAGTGTTACCTTTTAAAACTTAGGGCTTTCAGCTGTAGATTTCAGCATGTGCATTGTTACGTGCGGAATATGGGAAAACTTATTTTGAGAACTTGTATTTGATGCTTGCATTTCAGGTTACTTGAGCTTGAGTTCCATGCAGATACAAATTCAGCCAGTTAGGATTTTACAGGTTTTTTTATATGCACGTTATTCGTCTATTAAATATTTGGCTTGTCTGGAGTTTGTGTATTATGTGGTGTCAGGTTCTTCTCTATATCAGTTTGCCTTTACTTTGTAAACTCTCATAGCTGTGCTGCATTTTCCTTCTAGGTAAGAAATGTGCTGAAACTCTTAGAGAATCCGTTCCAGGAAGCAGAAGGATTCAGGGAGGTAAAGGAAGATACAGAAGAGGAGGGAGCAACTGCTACAGCAGCTGCTTGTGCTCAGGAAACAAGAAGCAGACTACCCTATTGCAGTAAACCTCCACTGTGGGCTTCGGAGCTCTGTGTTACATGATCTTCCTAACTGCCTTGTTTGGGGTTTGGTTTTTTTGCTGTAAACTGAAGACTCTAATCCTCCTTCAGCAGCGAAGAATTCAGCAAGGCAAATATCAAAGTGCTATTCAGTTATTGAAACAACCCTGCATTTGGATGTGTCTGCAGCAGTCTTCAGCTGTCCTTCATTTGAAGCGATTGCGGATCACTGGGGCGAAATCAGTCACGTTTGACAGTCCGTGTACGCCAGTAATTTAAATGTTTTGAGGCTGAAAGTCCTTCCTTCATACCGCGTTGCAAGCAGGAAGCAATATTTTATGCTGAGGCAGGCTGAATTTCAAACATCCAAATGGAGTTGTTGTTAAGTGAAGACAAAAGCATCAAGTCAGGAATCTGATCTGGTTTTGTCTGATGTCTTAACTAATAGTACTTCTTACATTTATTTACTGCTTTCTCTATGCAGGGACTTGTAGCCCTCTTTAATGGAGGAATAGATTCAGTGTTGCTTGTTTGAAGCTATGGTTCATTTAATTAAGTAATTCATTTCTTGTGAACCTTCAGATTGATATTTAATCATAATCTGTTTTCAGATAATTTATGCAGATTGGGGTTTGCGTAGAGCAATTTTTTTTTTTAAAGTACATGAGCAGAATTAAGGGAGACTATATGTATTTGCACTGGAAAATCTTGGTGGTGAAGTTTATTCAGGTTCTCTATGTCTGCCTACAACACGTGTTAATATTTACTGAAATCATGGGTGCAGTTTGTAAGCCAATTGACTGGACCAAGGTCAGACAGCCGAATGTTGTGAACTTTGAACTACCCCAGTACCCAGATCCAGGTTTGTTGTCTGTTTATTTGTGTGCTCTTAACAGTCTGCTTGTACGAGGAGCATGCAGGCGGGATAACTGTTGGGTCGCACTGGTCAGTGAGGTTCTTCCATTCCCACTCTGGTCTTGCGCCGTTTAGTTGGCTTCTGCAATCTTTGAAAAATCTTTTTGCTGAAAGTGGCCCCTCAGGAATGCGCTGCTTGAGCTTGTGTAAAGGATTTGTGGAGGATATGGGAGGAGGACAGGAGCTGACTCTCTTGCAGATGACTTATTGATGATGTTTCAGGTGAAGTTTCAGGGGAAAGTTGCTTGCTGTTATTGCCACACCTGCAAACAAAAAGTTGTTCTGTAGAGTTAGCTGTTGTTTTGCTTTCTGAACTTCATTCTGAGGGATCCTGGTAGTGGTTCAGCTGCCTGAAACCTTGGGAAATTTTGATTTAATGCAAAGGTTTAACTTTTCCAAAGACACCGCTGTTCTACACTGTGAGTTGAAGTGTACTCTAGTGAATTCTTCCTGCACCCCTGTGCAAGCTTGATATTAGCTCAGGTGAATTGTGCTTTTTTAAGTCTTCCTCAAAATATGATCTGTTGAAAAATAGGGAGAACAACTGGGCTGCTGCTTATCCATCTGTACTAATAATCAGTGTCCTCCTTGCTGCCACAGTAAGTAAGTGACACTTTGAACATAAGAATCTGTTCTGTCTTGCCTTTGACCTGCAGAAACTGATGCTTAATAACGATTTGTGACAAGCTAGAATCTCTGATAAACTTGGCACTTGCTTTGATGTTTTGGAGTCCTGACAGAGAAGGACGAACTTGAAGGTGTGTTTACCTACTCCATGGAAGAGTGGCGTGGTTGAAAGGAGGACCCTCAAAGTGGGCAACAAATAGTGCTAGCTGGTGCAGCTGGTCATCTGCTAGAAATAATCCTATTTTGTAGGAGTTTGAGGGATTATCCTTCCTCTGAGATTTGGTGGTACGGGAAGCAAAACAGTCGAAGGAAACTTTTAAGAGAAAGTCAGTTCTAGGTAAAAAGGACGGTGCTGGGGAGGAGAAATGTGCTGGCAGTCTGAAGGACGCTTCAGACGCACCCCTGACAAATTTGCAGAACCAGTGGTCTCTTTTTGGTATCTCTGGTCCAAAAGGGACTGACGGGTGAGGGAAGTTGCCCCAAACTGATTAGCGTAACTCTGTGCTGATTTTTTTTCTCAGTTTCTGTCATTTTGGGAGCAGTGTTTTGGAGGAGCTCTGCCCAAGATTTTGGCTTAACAGAATAAGCTAAAGAGTAGTCATAGAATCATAGAATGCATTGGGCTGGAAGGGACCTGTAAAGGTCATCTAGTCCAGCCCCCTCTGCAGTGAGCAGGGACGACTGTGGGGGATTTAAACCCCCTCACTTCCCAGGGACCACTGCAAAAAGGGCAACACAAACAGTGATTGTCAAGAGCAGTTTATGCAAGCAGGGTGCTGAAAAATTTACCAGCTCAGTCACAGAATGACAGTCTCCACCCATCAAAAGAACACCATGCTCCTGACACCAACCAAAATGGGTGTGGGAACCCAGAGAGAGGTCTCACGGAAGGATGTGGCTGTGCAGGTCACAGGCTGCAGGGAATGCCACAGCCTCTCTGCGTGCGGTGTGAGCAGGTAGATGATTTCCTCAGCTGAGGGTGGTGAGGCACTGGCACAGGTTGCCCAGGGAGATTGTGGATGCTCCATCCCTGGAAGTGTTTAAGGCCAGGCTGGATGGAGCACTGAGCAACCTGATCTAGTGGGAGATGTCTTTGCCATGGCAGGGGGGTTGGAACTAGATGATCTTTGAGGTCCCTTCCAACCCAAATCATTCCATGATTCTATGGCTACAAGGTAAGGTTGAAAGGCTGCAAGATGAAATAGAAGGGCTTAGGAGCATTAGGGAGGCTGAAGTGGATTGGTGGAGCCAGGCTCTGCCCTCCCTGCAACAGAAATGGGAGCACCCACCAGACAGCACCCAGGATCAAGGGGCTCCTGTATCCTGCCCCTGTCAGGTGGAAGACGGAAGCCTAAATGAAAGGGATGAGTGGAGGCAAGTTCATGGCTGAGGCAGAAGGTGAGCACCCTCCTTGCCCTCCTCGCCTTCCCAGGTGCCTCTGAGAAATAGATATGAGGCCCTGCAGGAAGATGAGCAGTCTGATGTGGATGATGGGCAACCTATACCAGAGGACGTACCACAGGCCTTCTAGTCATGTAACAACTTCTTCCACAAGGAAGAGGGAAAAAGTTGTAGTTGTTGGACACTTGCTCTTAAAGGGAACAGAGGGCCCAATATGTTGGGTTGACACTCATCATAGAATCACAGAATGTTAGGGTTTGGA